CTGGTATGACATGGACACGCTATGACGAATGCCGCCGATGTGCGATGTTATTGTTGAGGCCAAGAGGCGTGCCCCCCCCCCCCCCCCCCCCCCCCCCCCCCNCCCGACCCCCCGCCACGGCCATCTTAGTGACGTCATCGATACTTTCCAGCAACCGGTTGAAGCCACGGCGCGACCCAGCAATAAACCGGCAGCTGATAACCAATCGGCGCGGTCGCGAGGAACTCTATGCCGCGCTGAGGAAAAACGCCGTACGAGCGTTCGAATGTTGCCAAATTTCCTCTTCTAAAAATATTTGTTTCCGTAGAAAATTATGAATTTGCTTCCTTGAAATTTTCAGGGACCCTAGATCAAATTTCGAAGAAAATTGTCTGAAAAATCGGAATAAAATATGCTCAAATTTTCCCGTAAAATTCGTGATTTGTTACGGGAAGTTTGGCAACGTTTGATGGCTGATACGACGTTTTTCCCGAGCTCGGCAGAACTGTTACGGGGAAAAAACGGACGTGGACGTGATCGACGTGCTCTCCGGTTCGGCCACGTTTCTGGATACTCGACGGCGCCTATCNGGGGGGGGGGGGGGGGGCACACAATCGGGACGTGTACCCGAAAAATACGTGGAAGTGATGACTCTGTGGCGGTTGACGGGCTGTAAAGTTAATTAACGCTTCTAGCGAGCCGTTGAAGTTTTGTCGTCGAATTTGCGGCTCAGCACGGTCGATGGAAAGCGACTCGAACCAAAAAAAATATTTGACTTTCTTGATTCTCAGTTACCGTGTTTACACAGTGAAGTAGCTAAAAATTTCACGTGGAGAGAGTTGGATCCATGATCAAAAATTTCTCTCGGATAGAAGTTCAAAGTTTAGATGGACCGCGTTTCCGGACCCTTCGCACAATCAAGTGGACTGCATTTTGCAATTTGGAACTATAAATTCTGGCCCGGTTTAAAAACAACGTATGTGCCATTAGTTTCCCTACGCACATAAGTGTTTTTTTAGATGAGCCAGAATTTATAGTTCCAAATTGCAAAATGCAGTCCAAGTGTGTTTGCTTTACTTGAAAGCCGAAGTTTTGCTGTTGATATCCAAGAGAGCTCAATTCCTAGGAACATCGACAGTAAAACTCATGCGCTTAGAAGTGGAACATCACGAAGAAAGTTGATTGAAAGTCAGGTAAAAAGTCGCCTATTTTTTTTTTTTTTAAAAAAAAGAAGAAAAAAAAGTTGTTTAACTATCGGCTGCACTTGACCGGATTTGATTCGGACGTATTCATGCTGAAGATACCATGAGCATTAGGATTTCCTTGCAACTTAGTTCCTTTTAGCATAAATAAGTCTGCTTCAAAAACACAGTCGTTGATTAAAGAGGAAGAAAATAAAAACAACATGTTAGTCTCTGAGTAAGACACCATCCCCCCAGCGCGCTCGTGAAGATAAACCAAAAAAAAATAAATAAAAGAAAAAATGGGGAAAAAAACCACTGCAAAACGACCATTTTCAGAACTTGGCGAAAAACTGCATTAAAAGAGGTTGACTAAAATCCAGACTGTGTCTTATTACTTGTTAGCTAGTATCGACTTGTCCAGGAGTCCAGGAGACGGAGACGCAACCACCCTAAAAAATGAACGCGGAGCAATCTTGTTAATTAAAACGGTAGAAAATTGAGCGGTCTCATGCAACTCAATTTCCGTTGGCTTTCTTCCGGGCGCGGCCGCCGGTTTTAGGTTGTTTCCCCTTCATCCTGCTCCCTCTACCCCGCGCACCTGTGCCCTCCCGGGCTCATTTCCTGCCCTTTCTCGTCTCTCTGTTAACAAGGAGAATCAAGTCATCCTACGGAGTTCGATGATTGCACAAAATTAATTTGCCCTGAGCCCTACTCATCCTCCTACACCTCTGGAAAACTATTTAAAGAACCTATTGGGGGAAAAAAAAGATTTCGAACCTCCTGGTCATCCCGTTAAGTAACGTTATTTGCATCGCCGCACAATGGATCGGGTCAATAGGAGAGGTCGGACAAAATTTGGAAACTTTAAACGCTTACAACTCCGTTTATACAAATTTTTAAAGTTCTGAAAGTGGTTCCATTGGTTTCCTCGTCAAATTTTCTTCAAGAAGCACCCCTTATAATTTAAAATGTGGCGAAATAAACGTCAAAATTTGCAGTTTTAGCCAAAAATTTAAGGTCCGACCTCTCTAATTGACTCGATCCACTGTGCGCCGTCTCCAGACGAAAGAACGTGACTACATATCAACGGCGCAAAATTTCTATTCAAAATTGTTGTTCTTGCCGAGCAGTGTTTAAGGCCAAACAGCAATCTGCCTGCAAGAAATCGCCTATGGCCGCTAAGAAAATCGTTGTTTAACTTCGTTTTCGGGATTTTCCGGCGCATTCTGCAAGATGCTCCCGACTCGTGACATTTCGACAGGGCAATTTTTTATTTTGGCTCCTCTGGAATCTGAGATGGCCCTAAGAAGAAAAGTTGCAGGCCAGATGGCTGCTGACAACGAGACTTGATGCCGAGTTTCAAACACTGTTGCCAAGAACTGACGGACATTTTTAACCGAATTTTCACGTAGCTTTCTTTTCAAAAAATCACTAATTTCGAATATGAATTTATTCCTCGTTAAAAATTGAATTTTTCCAGTCAATTTTGCGACCTTCGAATGGGGTTGCGTTCTTTTGTCACAAAAACGACTTCAACATGCTTCATAAGTGAAAGTTTTATCCAAAAGTCAGGGTATTTACAAATTTTGAAGGAGAGTAAGGAATGGGCTCGGAAAATAATGAAATTATGGTTGGAGAGTAGACTTTTTTAGACACTTGTTCAGGATTTTGTCTCGGTGGAGGGGATTAGAGATCCTCTTGCTTCTTCTTCTTTTTTTTTGGGGGGGGGGGCATTCTGCTACACTACTACTACTACTCCTACGTTTCGTCTACGATTCTACGTGCCTGGCTCTTCTCACAAGAAAATATACTTCGAAATATTTTATTTCTTACCCTGTCGAGTGGTGCATTTCAAGTTGAGCCCATCGCCCTGTTTCCGAGCCCCCCGGGGTTATTTCAGAGCCGAAGCGTTGACTAATGGCTCAAAGCGCAGTTACTTAATTGATGCCGGCTTGCATGTTTACGGGAGCCAGGAGTCGGTGTTTGGGTTGAAACGTTAGGAGCATTAATGCATCTAATGGAAGGTTGTATGAAATTTATGCGCCTGGCGCCACCAGGCAGGCCAGGCTCGCCTCGCCTAGCTCGCTTGTTCCTGCCTCCCGTTTTTCTGCGAACAATAATCATACGTTATTCCTGAACCCTTGCTCCATTAATAAGGCAGAGCCCGCGTTTCAGCCGCCGCACAGTGGACCCAGTCAATCAGAGAATTTCGACGTGAAATTTTTTACTCAAACTACTTTTGATGTTTATTTCGTCACATTTTGAATTTCAAGGGGTTCATCGAGAGGAAAATTTCTCGAGGAAACCAATAGACCGTATTCGATAACGGTTCGATGTATCGTTTGGTTCAAAACAATAGAACATAACCTCAAATCAAACTGTAAGGATTTAAGTTGGTAAAGCTGAAAATGAGAAATTTCCTGACAATTTCACTTTGAATTGGCATTTGGTACTCTAAAAAATAAAAAATCTGTCACAAAAGACCCGTTCTCTCAGATTTCTGAATTTACTTTTGAGGCTATGTTTATGTTTTGAACCAATCGATATCGATACAATCTCACCCGTTTGATGTATCGAATACGATCTATGGAACCTTTTTTAAAATCTCGAAAGTTTGTATGAACGGAGTTATGAGCGTTTAAAGTCTCCAAATTTTGTCCGACCTCTCCTATCGACTCGATGCACTGTGCGCCGCCATGTTGAGCGACCCAGTTACTCTTCCGTGACCCCCGTGGGTTCATCACCCCCCCCCCCCCCCNTCCTCCTCGGAGGGTTACCCGTGACAGAGCGCTGTCGTGCTAAAGGCCTTATGAACCTGCTGATGTTGCTGAATTTCTTCCGATCGAAATTTTATTTTTGAGGAAAGTTCGAAATATTCCCCCTCGAAAATTTCGGATGCCTCGGATCGAATTGCGAGTTAAATTTCCTGCAAAATCGAGAGGAGAATTTTGATAAACTCTCCTGAAAATTCGTATTTTGCTGGAGGAAATTTGGCAACGCCCGAAGGTTTTTACGATGTTCTTCCGTAGCACGGAAGTATGCTCTTTTTTATTTCGCAATGCGGCCCATCGATCCGCCCGTGATCTCTGCATCGATTTGGACCGTCCTTCAAGGGACGCTCCGTGTTGTGCTTTGATGACGATTTTTGCCGTTTCCCTGCCTCAAGGACGTAACTGCACATCGGAGTTGCCAAATTTCTACTCGAAAATTGTATTTTTCCTCGGCAACTGATGGAGAGTTCTCACCGAAAATTTCTCTGATTTTTCTGCTAATCATAATAAAAAATCAGCAAAATTTCGACCGGTTATATTCTTGTTTAAAATTTAATTATTTGAGTCAATTTTACAACCCTAGGATACAGTTATGGTTTGGGACGTCCAGGGAGGAGGGGGGGGGGTTGTCGAAGTCTTTCGTCAAGGAAACGACGATTTGTGATTGGGAGGGGCGTAATATCAACCCTGATCTGAGGTGGGGGAGAGGGGCTAAAAGTTGTTAAGAGAACAAATTTTCTTAAGGGGAGGGGCAAACTTTAAAAAAAAATTTCCTCCGATACCGTAGAGTAGATCGAAATTACCCTCAAAGAAAGGTCAACTCTAAAATGGAAGGGGGGACGATCCGCCCTCGTCCTTTCTCTAAAAAATGCCCTCAGACCAAAGGGGAAAAGTAAAATTTAAATGGCTCAAAATCAGGGAAAAATCGCGTTTTTGAATATCGAACGAGTCCAAGTGACTCCAAGCGTCCTGACTTGTCCCGAAAAAATTACTCTTTCCTTTTATGAAATAGTAATCCCAGATGATTGTCGTCTTGCATTACATATTTTTTTATTTTCTGTTACAGAGGAAAGCCAAGGGTGAAGAACTTTTCGAAGAAGTATGCGACTCATTAGATTTATTAGAACGTGATTATTTTGGTTTGTCCTATGAAGATAGACATGATCCACACAATTGGTTAGAGTTAGACAAAAGGATCTCCAAATTCCTCAAAAGTAAGTATCCATGATCAGATTTTATATATCCGAGGCACTTTCTCACTCTCTCTCTTTTATTTTAAGCCCTAAAAATAATCCAATTTTTTATTTTTTAAATTTTTTTTTTAAACTCATGATTTAAAGATAGTGAGGACCAGGCAGTGTTTGCGTTCATTCCATCAAGAATTAACTTTGCTTCTATAACTTCCAAAGGATAAGTTCAAAATTCCGATGCATCAGGGATATACCCATTTCAAAAGGAGCTAACTTTTTCTGTTTTCAAAATTTTGAGGGACCGTAGAGTAGACCTCTATTATTTTTTCAAAAAGAGAAGCTCTGCCTTATCTCAAGATTCATTATTGGAAAGGTTGTTAAGAAAAAAAAATAAGAAAAAAAAATTAGTGCTTTTTACCATCTCACAATTACAGCCGAGTAAATTTTTGAAAATTTCCTATTTATTTTACAAAAGTGGCCTTGCTGAAACAATGAGATGTTATAACATTTGGCAAGTTTTGAAATTTTCTTTCATAACTCATTCATTAGCGACGTATCACTCGATTAAGGAAGAAGGAAGCCTTTTTAACCAAAATATTTCGTTGGGACAAAGGTATTTGTCCCTTAGTCAAACATTAAATAATAACAAAGAGTTTTAAAATAGGCCTTTTTCTTATTTTTTATACAATCATCATTTAAAATTTTGTGCTTCATTTTGCAGATGAACCATGGAAGTTCAATTTTGAAGTCAAATTTTACCCTCCAGACCCCTCACAGTTACAGGAAGACATAACAAGGTATGCTTAAAAATCCATCCTTACACATTTTTACAGGCAATTCTACTGTTAATTTAATCTGCATCAGTCCTTCAGAACCATATTTAAATTGAAAAAAATGTCAGTTTCTTTGCAATGACATTGGTAATTTAGCTTCCAATGTTTTGAGAAAGGAAAAGGATTGAGAATTCATCAGCTCTTGCATCAGATAGTTAGAGTTTGATGTTTTCAAGTTTTGTATTTAATATCAAACTTGATAATTGCAAGGTGAATTTTTCTCCTTAAGTTTATATCATTATAATACTTCCTTTCATCAGAAAAATTGTGAACGGCTGTCTTTTACAAGTAACATTATCTGTACCAGCATTGAGATCAAAATATTTTGTTTCTTGGACTTCATTCAATTGCTTAATTTTTTAAAGTCATTCAAAGTATTTTGTATTTTTTCTCATTACAGATATCAACTTTGTCTTCAAATACGCAATGATATTCTTAGTGGAAAGTAAGTACTAGAACAAACGATCTCTTTAAACTTTCTTATAATTTCATATTATCTTATTGAATGTGTTAGAAGCTGTACCCTCTTATACTTAAGCAAATTTTAAGGTCCCAGATAGAGAAAACATGATGATACATAAGAAAAAAGAAAATTCAAGAGCTCAATACCGCAAAACAAAAATTAAGCATCAGATCCAGACTCTTAACGTAAACCGGAAAAAGGGTTTGTTCATATCATGGCAATCCAGCCTGAAAACTGAAGCAGAAACTTTTTTAAGGTACCATGTGTTTTTCACTGTGTTGAGACCAGGTTTTTCAATGAATAGGAAAAATTGTTACCAAACAATTTAAAAAGATATGGCAAATACACAAAGAATTTTTACAATTGGAAAAGTCAGCATTTGTATAAAATGGTATTATACCCTAAAATGAACTTAGGTCTCAGTATCTTTAATTTTTTCTGTATCAATTGAATGATGTAATTTTCTTTTCTCGTTTTTATCTTTCAGATTACCGTGCTCATTTGTTACGCATGCACTACTTGGCTCATTTCTTGTTCAATCAGAACTTGGAGATTTTGATCCTCAGGAATACAAAAACGGTCCAGATTATCTAAGAGACTTTCAGTTTGCCCCGAATCAAACCCTTGAACTAGAAGAGAAAGTCATGGAACTTCACAGGACTCATAAGTAAGTAGATTGGATTGAGTAAGCTGGTTCACGTTTAATTGAATTTCATTGATACCTTGTAAAATTTGAATTCTTCAAGGTCTCTTTGTAACAAGGAAGAAATTTTCACAGGAATTTTTGCTCTCAGCTGTGGTTCATAATTTCAACGGGTGTATTAGTAATTTATTGATCTTTATTTGGGGAGGAGGAGGGGTTCAAATTTCAACTTGATCCAGGCATTGGTGTCTCATGAGGGTAGTGTAGAAAGAGAAAAAAATCTGGCAAATTTAGTTATGCTTTCTCCGCAGTGTTCAAAGAGCGTCTAAATTTAATATCTTACTTTTGTTGTACTTCTTGTATTGCTTCTTACAAATATATGGATTTATAAAAACTTATTTTGTTTGTTTTTGTTTCCTTTTTTTCAGGGGTCAAACGCCAGCAGAAGCAGAGTTACAATATTTAGAAAATGCAAAAAAATTAGCTATGTATGGGGTAGATCTACATCCTGCAAAAGACTCTGAGAATGTTGATATCATGTTAGGTGTTTGTGCGTCAGGTCTCCTTGTTTATAGTGACAGGTAATTTTAGACGATTTAGAAAAATTAAATGCTAACGTCAACATTAAACACAGTAGCATTAAACACTTAAGACGAATTTTAAAATTTGCTTTTTTCGATAACTCTTTTACATGGCTCAGAGATTTGTTCCTCATAAAACTTTTTCCTCTGACAGCTTTCAGCTTATATATTTTGGCTTGGGTGTATTTCCTGAAATATTGAATGTTTGTGGATCTGTGTCAGAACCTATTTTAAGTCATTATTAGGGTGAGAATGCAGAAAACTGTGATTAAAATAGGCTAAGGAACTTATGAGTTTTTCAATACTACTTTTTATCATATGCTCTGCCATCGTACTAGATTTTTTTTTTTTTTTGATTCTAGGTTAAGAATAAACAGGTTTGCTTGGCCAAAAATATTGAAGATCTCCTACAAGCGTCACAATTTCTACATAAAAATACGGCCAGGAGAGTTTGAACAGTACGAATCTACTATTGGATTTAAATTAGCAAATCACAGAGCCGCAAAAAAGCTGTGGAAGACTTGTGTAGAACATCACACATTCTTTAGGTAAGTAGCATTATTTTGACAATTTTTTGGACTCTGGTAGCTTTTCACATTCTAGAAATTATTTCCTCCCTCTGTTTTGCATAAAATTGAGAGGAAGTCAACAAAAGTATACGCTTCTCATTGTTCAGACTCATAAGCTTTGAGGAGTCTCAGCAAAATTTTGTTGCTGGGTTCCTAATGGGTTCCTTTCCTTCTTTATCTAAGATACATTCAGGTAATTTGTCCGGGGCTCTTTGTATTCGATATATATCATCGATTAAGTACAAAATCTGGGTAGATTTTGACGTTTCAGCCACTTAAAAGGACAATAGCCCTTACGTCTGAGTCCAAAATGTAATCTTCAACAAAAAAGAACCCCGCACAGAGCATGGGGTCAGCGGCTCTCTATGAAAGTCGATGAAACTTTAATAGCTTGATATAAAGTTCAAAATTAAGGGAAAGCCAAAAAATTAGCTCATTTTTGCGAGTAGAAGCCGAGATATTCGCAATTGAATCCGGACTATTTTTTATCATGCCGCAGCATGGCGGAAGAATTCCGAGTCTCCTCTCCTCTCGTTGTTCGGCGTTCTCGATCAGACCTCACGTTACTCACGTGAAGATAGGTGCTGATGCGCTCGGCCGGTGCGAATGCCGTACTCCTTCCCTCTCCCCGCATCTGTCAATTCTGTTTTAGCAACTACATTTCAGATTAAACCGACTGGCGGCGCCAACATGGGAGAGGCACAAGAAGCAGGGAACTCCATATTGCACAGCCCGAACGGAGCGTCCTAATCAAAGGAGTGAGTGTAAACAATGCGACATCGTAGTTACCTGGTGGGGAGAGGGGGTTTCCTGGCCAAAGTGCTCAAGCAAGTTAAGGCGACACGGAGAATTTACCTCCGCTGCACAGAAAATAGTGCGGGTTCAATCGCGAATATCTCGGCTTCTACTCGCAAAAGTGAGCTAATTTTTTGGCTTGCCTTCAATTATGAACTTTATATCAATCTATTAAAGTTTCATCGACTTTCATAGAGAGCCCCTGACCCCATGCTCTGTGCGGGGTTCTTTGCTAAATTCAGAGTAATTTAAGCAGGGTCTGACTACAAAAAAATGTTGCATACAATACAGAGGTCGATCAAGGTATGTTTTTTTTGTAACCAAATCCTGCTTTCATTTCTCCAAATTTTGCGTCTCACTCATCATTATGCATTTCATATTTAATTTGTGTTTCTCTTGTAGGTTGATGACTCCGGAGCCAGTTCAAAACGCAGGCCTTTTCCCTAGATTCAGTTCCAAGTACAGGTATTCAGGAAGGACGCTCTATCAGACAAAGAAAATGCCAATCGAACGTCCCGCACCTCACTTTGAGCGAAGTTTAAGTGGCCGTAGGCTTACCTCTAGGAGTATGGATGGTTAGTTTTTCTTTCATCATTCTCTGTATTTCTTTTATTTTGTGTTTTCTCATTTTCAAGATGTCAATACAAAACAGTATTTTTTTTCTATCCTTCTTGCTCATTCTAAGTTACATCTTGAAAGCTTATTTTGGAATTCTGCTTAGCTCTTCTGAAACTTCCCAATTGACTTTGCTGAAGAGAGATGTCTTGTCATTTAAGACACTGTTGATAGGTCACTCGTAGTTTTTTCCTTCTTTTCAAAAGCGAAAAATTAACTCAAGAAGGCCTATTTTAATTGATACCTAATACTGATATTGATGGCTATAGTGCAAAACCATGTATCTTTGTCTGTGACATCGCAGACTTCCTGTCATACTTTTTTTTCCGCAAACAATTCAACGAATTTTCTTGAACATTTTTTTGATTTTTCCTCTTCATTAGCTGAATATTCTGCATGGATTTCATATTTTAAAGTTGGCTTATTTCTATTCAAAAAAACAAAATAGGAGGGGAAATTTTGAAACACCCTGGAGTACCTGTATAGCGAGAGTATAGACAGATGTGAAACTCCGAAAATCCATCAGGCCTTCACCGATGTCTCCGCGAATAAAGTTAGGGCCCAGAAATGCAGCCAACCTATGAATCTCAATTATCCAGAGCGCTTTACTAATACAATTGTTACAAACCATCGTTTATAAAGCACGTATTTGACTTACTTGTTGCATAAATTTACTCATTTTTGCGGAAGAACGCTCATTTATGTACATTCTTAGCCATCTTGGTTAGAATTGGAATGTGCAGACTGGCAGTGAAATTTTGTGCGTTAGAAGTTGGTTAGAAGGGTGGCTGCTTTTTTGGGCCCTAAGCCCTCCATGAAACGATCTGTCCATACTCTCGCCATATAGGTACTCTAAAACACCCCAATGGAGATATATGGTTTCAGATTTTGGCTCCCAATGTGACCAGAATCAGCCTGGCTTCATGAGATGTTGCCTCTTTTTCCCTAATGTTTTATTTTTTTAATGAAAGAAAGGAGAAACATTCTATCTTGAAATTTGTTAGTACTTGTACTTTGTCCTGTACTTTACACAAAATTCCTGAAAGTTTCAAGTTTTTATTCTACTCAGTTTCCTTCTAAAAAAATATGAGATGAAAGAAAATTAGGCAACAGGAAATGCCGGTAGGCTCACTCTTGTTAAATCCGTCCATTTCTTTATCGCACATTATTTTTGTGTACGGGCGCACGTCAACTGGCTAACAAACATCTCTGTTGGTTGGGTTAACAGCTCTAGGTGATTCTCCGCAACACGTGAAGGTCGACTTCAATGCAGATGCAAATAAAAACAAACGGCACACAATGTCCCACCCTCCTCAACATATATCAGAAGCAGAAAATAATAGCAAAGAAAAACTGAAGCCAATGGATAATTTTAAATTAGCCAAGAAGTTCATCAAAGGCAAAGTAAGTTATATCAAAATATATTTTATATTTTCAACTTTTTGGATTAATCAAGACAGTGGTTTTCTTGTCTAGTGGTCTACTTTTATCGGTGAAAACAAAAAATTTAACTTTTTTCTTAATAATTGCCCAAGAAATTTCATTGGATGTACCGCATTTCTTGCAAAAATTAGATAAGGAATTATCTATTATGGGATGGAAGTTTCAACCATGTCTTATGATTGATAGTTGTCTCATAGAAAATCGCTATTTTTGGGATTCGTACTTTACTTCTTTTATAGATGAATCACGATTTTCTTACCGATGTAGAAATTGATTGGTCTACTTTGTAACTTAGTTCTATGTCATAAACACCGAAGAAGCAGTTTAACCTATTTTCTGTGAATGACCACTGCTTAAAACATTTATGAGTGTTTTCGATAAGCACGAAAAAGAAATAAAAACCGAAATCTTCATAGATTTTCCGTCACAATTTTGCTTTTCAATTAAAAGAATCTGTTAGAATTTCTCTGTGTTTTATATTTGGTGATTACAAAAATATTGATGAAAAATTGTCATTTTACCACCACGGTGTGCATGTTTACACTTTACATCACTGCTAATAACTTTGCTGCACTTACTAACAGCCATCACTTTAAGTAATTTAACAATACAATTTGTCTAACGATAAAGTTTAGCAGCTTTTAAGATATTAATTCTGTATATGCTTTGATAAGACACCATGTGCACATTTTTTTGCAGTCATAATTGTATTTGGATATTATAACTCTAAAATCTTTCTTCGTCGACTATATGCACACGCTTCTATTTAAAAAAAAAGAACAAAAAAAGGCTTTTACAGAATCTTCATTTCCCCTAAACATCAGGACAGTTTTAACCGGAATTGATGTGTACAGTGCATGAACATGTTATCTAATGTTTTGGTGATGATATAAAAAAGAAAATAGTTGCAATTCTTAAAATTAAATGGGAATCGATTGCCTGAAAATATTAAAAATCAGTGGTGTGAGTAAGCAAATTACATATTTTGTAATACTTTGAAATTAGCTCCATTCAAAATAATGAATACTGTTTTCCATTACCCATTTCTCTCGAAATGTTAACCAATATACTTTGAACCATTCAAGTATTACGTTAGAAACTTAGGGAGCATGATGGTAGGTTAAGAGCAGTTTTACCTCAACCCCTCGCTGAGAAAAAATCATATACTTCATTGAAAATTATTTTTGTTAACTTTTTCTGGGCTTTCTCAGTTATTTTCTGAAAAATTGGCGTGGTGGGGGGAGGGTCAAGCCAAGCTACTTCAATTCCAGAAGGAGGCAAGAGGTTGTCTTCCGGGTGCCTTACAAAGGGGAGAGGGGTCAAAAAGTCAGCTAAAATACCTTACGGAACACTTCATACTTGATGTTCATAATGTTCGCTGGATTTAATTTTTTAAAATCAAAGAGGAATTAAAGTTTGTTGCATTGTAATCAAGTTAAGTTAATTTCGGTTAAAGCTGTCCACCCAGTCAAACACCGTTTCATCAATTTTTGAATTTTGAATAACCATTTTTGAATACAATCAGGGGGAGAGTGATAGTAGTGCAAACTCACTTAGCTCGCTAGAGGGTGATTACGAAGCCGATCCGAGAAAACCGCCACGAAAACCTATGAAGGTGAACAACATAGTTGGATTATGCATGTGTTCAGTTTAACTTGTCATCAGCAGTTTTTGATCCTACCTGTTTTTCTACCTGATTCTACCAGTTTTTGATTGTGCATGACTTGGATGGTTTTTCGTTATTTCAGAATACCAATTTTGATAACAGCATGTTAGAATGTCAAACCTTATTCATAACTAAGTACTTTTCTTTTGTGACATTTATAGTATCTTATTTATGCCTGCTTTTCTTATTTTTTGTTTGTTTTTTTTGTTTTCATTTTATTAGCTTCTTTCATACACGAGTGACTCAAGTAATGTAAGTAGTCCAGTTTCGCAAGGGCCTGGCTCTCCTCATTCACCCACTTCACCCACAAGCAATCAACAATCCCCGAACAGCCAGCAAGCACTAAACGACAGCAAAGAAAGTGACGTAACTTCTCCTGGATTACCAGGATATACTAAGCAATACGATTATGTCGAAGAAGACAAGGAAAAAACCAAAAGGCACAAGTTGATCGGTGCATTCTCCTACGATAAAAAAAGCAAAGATAAAAAGAAAGGTGACGATAAGAAAGCAGCTGCTCTCAGTAAAGAATCAAGTGTTGATGAAAACGTACCTCCAACATCACCAACCAAGAAAGCAACAGGGTTAGCTTTTTCGTACGCACCAGGTGAAGCACAAAAATTAGCTCAGTCGGCAGCTGAAAAACGAAAAAATTTTCTGGAGAAGAAGGACAGCTTCAAAAACTCTGAGGGAGGTTTAACAACGGTGGCACCGAACGCAAGTGAAACTGGTTCCCAGTCTTTTTTAGTGCGAGAAGCAGATGCCTCCAGGGGAGGTAAAGCGAGTGACGAATCGTCTAAAACGCAAGTGCCAGAGGTGAAGAAAAAATCTAAGTTAACTGATATATTGAATACACCTGGAAAAGACAGCGGGAAAGGTGCAAACGTGAATGAACCAGGTTTACGAACACCTGGTCTTGATTATGTTGAATCTGCGGCCAGAAAAGAAAAATTGAAGAATGGAAGTGAATCCACCACATTTGGCACTCCTCATATCGGTTCACAGTTCAGTAAGACACCAACTGGTAAACTTTTTCAAGATGATGTAAGCCGGGACAATATGTCCCCTGGTGCCAAACGTGCTTTTGATATGAAGTCTGGAGGCATCTTTCAATCGGGCGGCGCAGGTGGAATTGGACGCGCTAGTCCCACAAGCGGAATTGGACGTGCCAGTCCAACAGGCACTGCTGGCAGTGTCGGCACTACAGGAAACACAGGCACTGGTCCCTCAGGCACCACAGGGTCTTCAATTTTCGGTAGCACGGGTAGCATAGGTAGTGCTAGTGGCACAACTGCAGGCAAACCACCCGCTAAAAGTGGGTTGAGCAGTCGAGAAGCTTTTTTATCGTCAGCCCCAGCAGCAACTCCAGTCGCTCATAGCAAAACTGCTGGTACGGCGCAAAGCGCAGCTTCTCCTGTGACTGGAAAACGTCAAGAGGATCTAACACCTGGATCCAAGTCAATTTTTAACAAAGATTATAGAATCAGAGATCCCGACCCAGGCCTTGAGGGTAGTCCATTTCCGTATGGAGGTGCAGGAGATTCAACCGTTATAGCTAACAAAAATGATCAGCTGCAAGATTTTATCAATCAGGAGAAGTCCAAAATACCCAAGAGCACCTCTAAAATTTCGGACACACTCGGTTCAGGGGGCAAAGGTGATGAATCCCCTAGCGAGGATTCAAGTCTCAATGGAGGAGGTAAGCTATTGGCCTCAAATAAAACACCACTCATAGTGAAGACTACCACAAAACAAACAATGGTGAAAGATCATGAGGGTCTGAAGCACGATATTGAGGAGAAAGTCGAAGACCTGCAAACTGGAGCGTTTACAATTTCCACGCAAACTAACAAGGTAATATTCCTTTATTTAAACATTGATTAGAAAATCCTTACATTTTTATCGCTTTTTCAGTAAGTATTCTTTCTACAAGTGTTTTGCCGAAAACAGCCTGCTTAGTATTATTTTGAATTGCCAGCAGTCTGTACATCTCACTCAATGAATTTTTAAGCAACAAAACATTGCTACTACATGAAAGGAAACTGTTGCGGGTTCCCCTTTGATTTTGAAAGAAATTCTGAAGTTAAGTATGTATGTTATCCTTGTAGAAATCCAATCATTTTGAATATCGGTCCAAGCTAAGCTTTGAGCAATGTAGTTGTTAAACAGCAAGTAGCTTGATTTTGCATTTGCTGATCTAGACTTAGAGGATGTTTTGATATGTTCTGTGTGCACAAAAATGAATTGCAATGAAGAAATATTAGTTTTTTGCAACCCTTTTATTTTAGTTTTTTTTTATTTTAAATAAAATAATTTAAGCCTTGGTACATAGTAACACTGTGAATCCGATTGTTTATTTATCATTATTTTCATTTCATTAAGTTCACATGCGTTTTCTTATAAAGTTTTCGAAAAAATCTCTGAGAAGTAATTTATATATTCTTGTACATATTTACTTTCAATGCTTAACCAAAGACAGCTTATTTTCTGCTCCTCTCTAAAATTGCGCAAACTTATTTGGCATGGACTTGATCATAGATGAAAATAGCCATGAATAATACGAGAAGCATTTATGTACAATTCAACCAGACATTAACAATGTGTGTCCTAAAGACAAAATGTACGGGGATAACCCTTAAACCTCTAAATTTTTCAATTATTTTTGAACCTGAAAAATCCAGAAAATCCATAGTCCTGTAGAAGTAGATTTTTGCATCATATTTTGTCATTTAATTAAGTATTCAAATCCAAGGACGGAAATTTAGTAAAGTATTTGAAAGCCCAATGCATTTTTCAAGCAGATCTCGGGCTCCTATGTGTGCGTAGTTATTTATTTGAATTTACCAATTAGTTTGACCAAAGTACCTTTATTGCTTTCTTCTTACTTAAGCAATGTTGATTTTGCAACATTAATTTAGGTTTTAGTGCATGGATTTATTGATTTGTTTTTGTTTTTTTCCCCTCTCCTTGAATGATTCTGAATGCAGGCAGAAAATTTGGACGATGGAGGTCGGTCACCTCATGTGACAGCAACTGCTGTTACAACACGAACAGCAACCACCCACGAGAACCTTGAAACCAATGCTAAAACGAGCCAAGTAATTTATTTTGCAGTATTTAATTTTAACTCGGTTTTAAGTAGTTTTTATGTAAAGATGTCTATGAGATTTTAAATAATCTCAAGAGTCGATGCATTTTATTTTGTACCGATTAGATTGTAGCGTAGAGTCTTCTTTTAATTTTGTCATTATTTTTATTTCAAATTAAGAATTGGTCCCTGCTTTCCACTTAACTCCTAAATGATTAAAATATTGAGTCTAACTAAGGTACGTAATGAAAATGTGTTTGTTCAAAAGCTTGAATAGCTCCTGGAAATTTTAATCACTCGAAAGCTTGACTGAAAACCTCTATCAAGCTGGTTCATTCCTCACTTAAAATTTTGTTTTATTTACTCTCTCTAAACCCCTGTTATAAGGACATTTCAAGTTGAGGAAATTCAAAATTCGTTTTGCACACCCCTGATCAGGGGAATATGAACCTAAGAGTAGGAATATAAAATCTTAACCTGATTGGTTTCTGTTACGAGTCGTATTCAGTCTCTTTGCTTTATATCATCTTCAGGTCCTCTCCAGAGGTTTGTAGTTTGGTTCACGATTACATTGCAAAAGCAGACAAATCGCATGTTCTAGAAACTTGTCAGGGTAGAGATTTCACGTCTATACTCTTAAGGAACTTCATGAACATCTTATAATTCCAACATTAGTATGTCAAACGGTATTTTGTTAGGGTCTGTTTCCATCCTATTCCGATCCTCTGGAAGAATTTGATGGTTTTTGAAACCGAAAGAGTGGTAAAAACTGACTTAGTAACAATGGTTGCGGAGTTAACCAAAATATTTAATTCAGATCATGTTCTTTTGGAATATTCTGAGAAATGAAAGAGAGATTATAAATTCGTAGGTGTTGTAGAATAAATGTAATTTTGTGTATTATTTTAGGTTGAAGAGAAAACGGTGGCTCATACCACTACCACCAGCGGTAAGAGACAAGAACAGCGTACCGTGACACAGGAAGTGAGAGCTACCTCCACAATTGTTGCCGATAACAACCAAGTAAGTAATGATTTCTTGAACAGTCCCTGTAATTCTTGAAAGAGCTCATCTCAAGCACTCAAAGTACCTTACCTCCCCTCAATTTTTCTCGTCCCACCAGCACATCTCGTAATATAAGCGCTGAAAACCAATGAAGGAGAAGGCGTGGGAATATAGTGTAATTGGGAGCTCCAGGAAGTGTATCATTTTATTGCTTGTCTAAAGTTGTCTAAACCTTGTGTAATTCAAAATAAATCATTGGGAAATATAAAAAGATTTTTGCTAATTAGTTGTGATCTATTTTTTTTTTCATTCAGCAAATTATTTTCTCTAAGAAGCTGCCATATAATAGTTAAAACTTGTGCGAATAAATTATAAATCTTGAAGTACAAATTTTTTGCCAGCAATAGGAAAGAATTTAATGAAATTTCGTTTGGTATAATCTTAGAGGTGTAAACATTTTCAATGATAAGAAAACATCAAAAGTACTCAAAGATGTTCTGGGATAGCGGTTGTAGTAAAAAATCCCCATAAAAAATACAAGAGAACAGTCAATTTAAAGTTATGGCAATTTAGGTTTTAATTTTTGTCGCCTAGTTTTATACAATACATTGTTAGTTTAGAAAATTAGCTGTGTTTTCTCTGCACTGTGTGTTCAATCATTTCGCTCAACTTTTTAATGCTCTTCAGGTTATCAGAGTAATAGCTGAAAATAGTGTCAAAGTGAAAGTCATCAATGTATGAATGTGCCTTAAGTTATTGATGTTGTAGATGTGATCACAGGCTTATTGATGCATTGATGTCCTTCTTCATTAGTTTATTTTAGCATCCACTTAAGCAAAAAATCAAGCGCTTTTGCCGCCATGCTATTATGATGTTAGTTGATTGTTTGCATTCATCACAAATTTTATCCTGTGTTTCGTTGTGATAGTTAATTCATATTTTTTGTTGCTTGCATGATGCGCAGTTGAGTAGACAGTCAAGTAGCTCAAGTCTTAGTTCCAATGATTCTGGAACTCCAATTGATTTTGAGGGACCTGAGGACGCTGCTTATTCAAATTCTAACTTTCAGGTAGCTAATCACTGCTTAGTATCAGAACATATTCTTGCTCATTTCTTGTTCATATAGTTTTAATTTGCATTTTCTCACAGCAAACAGGTAATTCCTTTGAATGGAATGGACGAGCAGAAAGGGTACAATATTCAACACCACAACATTTGTTTTCTCATCCAAATTTTATGGAGAATTTTCATTAAAATCTTGTGATACAAGACATAAGTCAGAAAACAATTGTTTTCGTCTGCTTTGATCCACACTTCCCCTTCACGAAAAAATCAGAGTCTACACAAATCAAACCAAACACTAAACTGATTTTGGTATATTTTAGGTGAAAGAATTTTCCCACTCACTAATTTTCTTTTGACATCTTTCATCAGAAGAGGAAGGAAATGTGTATAAAATCAAACTCTACTTAGTCGCTAATGTATACGTTAATTTCAGTGCCTAATTTTTCCAACACTGATCATAGTTTATTTTGGGAACGGGAAGTTTAAATTTACTGTTTGTAATGTAAACTACAAAAATTAATTTCTCTTTTATGGGTTAGTTTTAGAAGTATTTGGAATGTTTAACATGTTCTCCGTGAAATTTTGATGAGATAACATGTGTTGTAGTCAATATCTTACCGTATCCAGTGGTCCTTTGGCATCCATCGGCCTCAAGTAAACCAAGCACAGGTTCTGAAGATTTTTTCACATTTCTTCATCTACAAAAGAATACCCAGCGTAGTCTGCTTTGCGTTTTCATTTTTGCCACTACTATTTTAGAATAGGCATTCTTAATGCAGGGTCTAAATTCAAACATATATTTCAGGCTTTCTTTGCCTTATATGTAAGCAAAGAGGGAAAGATGTTCAGTGAAGAGTTTTATAGTATTTATCTCATACTTTGCCTGACATTATTGTCCTTTTGAAGGTACCTATTTGTTTTAATTGTAGGCAAGAAGAGCTTGTGTTTAGAGGAGAATTATTCCACACAAGCAGTTTTAAATATTAAGGGAGTATTAATAAAGCGATGGATGATTTTACTTAAATTTACTTTAATTTTACTTTTTTCAATTTTTTAATATGTCTGTGCAAACTTTATAAATTGCTTTCTTTTAAAAAATTGTGTTTGCGTCAGAATTACATACGGTTAAAAATTCTTAGGTAAAAAATTACATTCCTAGAGGGCTGATTTCTTCTGTTTTTTGTTGCACCTTTGCAAACCTTGAAATTCTTAGCAAATGTGAATTTGCTAAGTACTCTCATTGTACACTCCAATTTTTCTCTTGAAATTTTGGCAATGATTAATTTCGGGGAATTGTTCATCGGCCATCCAAGGTTTGCTAAGTACTCATACCAATGGTGAAATTCCCAAACAACGTATCTTGTTTTGAGACATTGCAGACTTCTTCTCATACTTTTTCTTTTTAAATGGAGAACTGCTCAACGTCAATTCTTAAAAACTGCTGTGATTTCTCATCGCTGTGTGAAGGGAATTCAAGAAATGATTTTAATTTTTTCTCCTTTAAAAAACAAAACAGGAGCAGAGATTTTTAAATACTGCCAACGACATACGTGGTTTGGAAGTTTCACTGTCAATATGCAACTCTATATTTGCAAGATGACTTCTTTGGATTATCTGATTTCAGTTATCAAATAATGTTTCATTATTCATGAAGAAGATTAATTTGGAAAATCTCCTATTAATAGGCATTTTGTGACCCTTAATGTATTTCAGCAGGATTCTGTCTTTTTTTTCTCTTTTTCTCTTTCTTTTTATCAATGTTTCTCATTGAAAACTAACAAGGGTTGAAGAAATTCTATCAGAGACTCTAACTTGTTTTTTCAGCGAACCAGCGGCTCTGTTGAACCAATAATTCAAACAGAAGCAATGCTGTACAGTGGAAGTGGAGGTGATCCATCTGTAACATCAACATCCAACGTTCCCCTCGTTGCCACAGAAACGAGGAGAGTTTCGTTGGGTGCAGACGACAATAGCTACAATTTGAGTGATGGTATTGTAAGCTCAAAGACCATTAGTAGCAAAACCCGTACCGTCGAGACAGTTACGGTAAGTTCTTCTTTATTATCTTATGGATGGAAAAAAATTAACATTAATTTTTCTTGATCTGTTTGACCACCCGTATTTTTTTTGTATCAGTTCCTGAGGTCTGCCAATAATTTTCTCCCGCTAGAAAATTTATGTAAAAAATCTTGACAAGATAAAACGTAAATGGTTCACTGTTTGGCTTATTGATAGTGTGATGAGAGGGAATCTCGTACTTGCTAAGCTGGACGGTTACATTGCTGTCTGAAGTAAGAAGGCGGCAAGCCGATTCCAGATTTTGCAATTTTGTTCCCAACAAAGAGCTCCAATAAAAGAAAACCTGAGCAATTACATGTTTCTTTCTTTTGGTATTAGTTTTCAATGATACAATACAGTCATCTTGGAGATTTAGAGGCTGAATATTTATTGGCTCTCTTGAAATAGATGTTGGGAAAATAGTTGAAAAGCCGAGGAAATAGGCATGGAGTTCTTGCTGTGAAAGGTAGTAAAGATGACAAACACCGAATTGGTCGCATCAGGATCTTGATTGTCTTTTAGCCAGCATAGAGGCACTAGAAACTGAGAGGGAAAATTGTATGAAAAATAAGAATTTGAAACTTTCCAGCGAAATTCCATTGAATACTTGAATTCAAAGCTATCTTTCATGAAATCTTTTGAAATGTGAAGGGCAATTTCACGACAAGTAACATATTTGAATGGTCAAAATTTATGCACAGTAAATTTTTTTAATGTGGAAGAACAGTTCTTTTTTATCTTGCTAACAAAACTTGTATTCAATCGCTCAGAGTCAGGGTATCTACAAATCTGGAATTTTGGAAAGCTCGGGAATAGTACTGATTTTTTAAGGGCAGTCCGGAAGTACTGGAAAAGTGCGGAAATTCCGCAGAAGGTCTGGAATTTCTTTCATTTTTTTATGATTTTTGTCGCAACTTAGGCGAGAAATTTAAATTTTTGGAATTTTTCGATTTTCGTCAGTTGGAGGTTGGTACTGAAAAAGTACTGAATTTTCCTGTGGAGGAGGTACTGAATTTCTTGGGAATGTACTGAAAAAGCACTGTAAAAGCACCGATTTTTGGCCAGCTTGTTTTAGTAGACACCCTGAGATTTTGTAACTTTTTTTTTTTCAAGCTCTGAATGAATATTGCTTCAATCCTAATTGAGTATTTTTTTTTTCAGTACAAGGTAGAAAAAGATGGTGTAGTGGAAACACGAGTGGAGCAAAAAATCACCATCCAATCTGACGGTGATCCAATCGATCATGATAAGGCATTAACTGAGGCTATTCAAGAGGCAACAGCAATGAACCCGGACATGACGGTTGAAAAAATAGAAATTCATCAGCAGCAACAACAACAGCAAGACCAGGAAGAATAGGAAGGTATGTCGTTATACAAGTTAGTTTCTTCAGTAAAGTTTTCTCTGTAGTAACATTCAATTCCCTTTGGTAATTTGCCTAGAAAGCACATGTGGATGGCTAAATTAAAACATATGGCACACGGAAAGATGAGAGCTTTCATGAACTAGAGCTTGCTCTTATTTTAAGACGAATGCCAATCTCTCATTAGCTCCAAATTAGCCCCACTCAACAGGCTAATATGTGCAATCAGATGGCACCATTGATGAGTGTTGATATTAACAATGCTTGACATTTGTCTCGGTGTACAATGAGCAAGTTCTAGCTGTATTCAACTATGTATTTTTGTACCTCCTACACTCTTATTTTGAAAAAGTCTCAATTATTTTCTCCAGTCCAGAAACATAAAAAATCAAAATAAAAAAAAACCTGGTTTTAATGGCAGTTTTGACTTTCAAACGTAGAAGACTGCTATCATTATGAATGTTTTCATCCTGAAAAAACACTCAAACCTTTTTTACAATTGAAAATGGTGTTCACTTCTTCAGACCTCAAAACAAACTAGGGTTCTTCACCGAGAAATCTCTACATGCCCAAAAATTTTGGGATAAAATCCTATTTTTACCGTTTTAGCAGTAACCTAATGTAAAGAAAGTTCAAAAAGGAGAGGCAATTATTAGGTGTCGCCGACCAGGGAACCCAGAAAATCAGCAAGGGTTAGAGAGAATTCAGGTAGAGAAAATGTGTACCTGGGAGAGTCGCGAACTCCAATGTAAGATTTTGATTTTTTTACTTAACCTCACGGCCCTTTAACACTGAGTCCTACAGCACTCTCTCCTGGTCTGTAGTGAATTTTTCCCTCAAAAATTTGAACCCTACCGATCTTTATTGATATTTTTCCCATAGTTATGTTCATTTTTCCTTTAATGACCGGGAATAAAAAGTCAGGAAGATAGAAAATCCAAGGATCAAGGAAAACCTAGAATGTGAGACAGAAGGAAATTTTACTAGCCCCCTGAACTCAGACATTTTCTTCCCACAAGCTTTTTCCTGTTGTATCTTTTCCAGGGAATGATTGGTCAATGTTGTCTCAGAATTTTTTTGTGACTTTCCAACGTTCTATTAAGATAATCTTGGAAGGACCCTGAGCAATTCTTTAAGATAGTTATCTGTACTGATGAATAAATAAATAATGAGTGAGTGCTTGTATCATGAAATGTGTTCCTTCTATTTTTAGTGTGTAGTCAATTTTCGTCCCCCCTTTAATCGAAGTTTCCCCAGGGAGTAGGTAAATAAGTAACATGAAGTTTTATTTATTGTCTGTAGGTTTGACTTGTCCAGAACAATCCTGTCGCTTTCACCGGATACCATCAGTATTAAGTTTTCATTCCGTCTATATCTTTTGGATATTGTTTTCTTTTCATTGTTGTGTCCATAGTGTTGAAAATCTGTATTATACTTTTTCATTCTCTAGTTTAAATTACTCCACAATAAATAATTTGTTTATTTTTTTAATTTAAAACATTATTTTGTTGTTACTTTTTATGTATTATTTAATACTTTTATTTTTTTAGTTGTTATCGTTTCGCTCTATCACAAGTAACACTTATTTGCATCTGAAACAATCCTCCAGAGATTTAAGCATTCTTTTTGACTACAATATCCAAATAAGTATTGATTTGACGCATGATAGTTGTTTCTTTGCCCAAAGAAAATAAGGTTCAATTTATCATCTTTGAAAATTATTTCTCTCCTCTTTTCTTAAATCCTCATCCTCTGTCGAAAATGTTGCTCCCTGTAATTTATGTGGCAATCAAAGGGCGGCTGAAAAGCTCTAAATGTTGTAAGATCTCTAATTGGTCATCATGTACCATGAATATTGAAGTAAAGTATGTTTTAGTCTTAAGAAACTTTATGAATCACTATGGAAAAGGAGCTATTCATCGTAAAGGGTGTTACTCCTATTAATATCTAAGTTGCAACGTCTCTGACGAATACATGGTTCATGCGGCCTTGAGAAGAGGTTGAGAAAAAGTATGATTCTGACATATTTTTTCAAGGCTTGAAAGTGCTTAAAAATTGTTTGAATTTTACTCTTTGCTGATCGTTAAGTTTTAATGCTCCTTGTCAAAAAATAACGAAGGATTTGATGTTAAACAGACTGTTTGGAAAGACATCCTATAATTAAGAAAACAATCGCCATTTATCTTATAAGCGGACCACAAATTGCTGACTTGGACTCTCGATATAGGGAGAGTAGGTAATGTGTGATTAGAAAAAATTCCCGAAGAATTATGAAAATTCTTCAAAAAATGCTTGGTTTTGTTATTTCTGAGGTCACATGAACCATTTAATATCTGTGTAGCTTGCAACTGCTGTAGTTAGGGAACAGAAATGATTTAATTTTTGTTTTTTTGCTATTTCAGTATTGTACGTTGGCCTTCTAATGCCAGTTGCAACTCATCAGTACAGAAAATTAAGTTTAAAATTAATTTATAAGTCTGTAGTTTTCACTGTATTGACCAAGGCTGTACTTGCAATTTTTGCGCTTGGAATATTTTAAGTAAGTCTACCTTGCAAAGAATATTTACAATGAATTTTGATTATCCTGAGACTAAGATTGAATAAAATGTTAGACAGTGGGAAGTTTCCTCCTTTTTGTATGCAGTTAAAAAAAGTACGAAATAAGATTATTTGTAAGAAAAAGAAGGCTGAAACTTTTTATCCTCTCCTGAAATTTTCGTCTGCCCTTGTAACAATGAAGTCAACTAGTTCATTAAGGAAAAGTAGTATACAAATGATTTTTTCAATGAACACGGTGTTAAATGAACTCTTGGGAGTGCTTCAAGAGTTTTTGAAGTTAATTTTTTTATTTTGTGAAAAACCCAGTTCAATTTTGTGGTAAATACAAAAAAGTGCATGAAATGTAAATTGACGATTGTTCATGAACCAGTGAACTCATCTGATCTTAGTTGATAGTCATTGCGATGAAAGGTTGGCAGCCCAGTACATATTTCAAACCAAAGGAAGAGTATTCATTTTCTGATGAATTTAGATACTTTATAAACGTGGCCTTGTAAGTTTACTTTTCAGCCACCTGAAGGGTGTAAAAAATATCCTGCTCACTGCCAGTTTCTTTAAAAGATATTCAGTGAATAGCTGCAAAAAAGAGCTTGAAAGAAAATAATAAAAAATGAAAAGTATTACAGTAGGATACCAACCATTCGAGGTAAGATTTTGAATGATCATTGTAACATAATCTGCTTTATTTTTGTGCTTAAAACTCAATTTACATTCCATTAATTTTTATTTATTTTCTAGATTTAAGCATTTTGTAAATTTGAAAAGATTTTATATTACTAATTTTTATGTGAACACTGATTATTTTTATTTATAATGTGCATAGACAACTTATTTTTTCTCTTGTTTCCATTGCACCATTTATTTTTGATCTATGGTTATTCTTTTTTACAATAATTGATGGTTTTACTGATGTGAGAGTCGTGGCTAGTATTCAAACATGAGTAATAATGCAGTGATAAAAACATTTTGTTTGTTAAGTTTTGGAGCCTAATGATTTCATAAATTTTGTTTTCTTGATGGATTTTTGTCGGTACTAGATCTTTGTAGTATGGATGTAAACAAGCTACGTGTTTGAAATTGAACTTTATTTATGACTCTGCCCTTTGCAGGTTTATTTCTTCTGTAAAACCATGATTGTAAATGTTTAATGTGAAGCAAGAGTCTTAGACTGAGTGCCTCCAGGCAATTAGAAAAATCCGAAGTCTTGAATAGAATCTTGAAGTAATTCCATTCTGAAGGAGAACAAAACAGTTATTCCAAAATAAGGGGAAAATGCCACTCATATCATAACAAACTGTTTGTAAAAGATGAGATAATTGATTCAAAGAAAAAATTTGATTTAATGAAGAGAGTTTAAGTTTGAATTGAAATTCTAAATTCGTCAAATTTTCTCTTTTGAATAACATACTTCCATCTCGGTGTGTGTTTTCTCCCTCATCAATGTGTGTAATGGAACTTGTTCAAAATTTTCCTCGTCATTCAATTGTCATTATTAATTAGCTTTCTTGTAAGCATCAGGAATAATTTTACTTTAACTGCCAGTACAAGAGATCAATGAACTGTTGATTCTATCATAAACTACCAATGCAGTTTCTGTACTCAATTTTCTAAAAGTGCTTGGTCTAAGTTTTCACATTTTTTATTTTTCTCAAGAATCATTGGAAATCTTTATTTTTATACCATGTATGCTGTACGCAATGAAAATAATCACGTTGTTTTATTTCTGTACTGGCTTTTGTTATCTCTTTTATTTATCTACAAAACGTTTAAGGTGGGGTCGGGTAACTGGGCGGAGGGGTAACTGGGCAGTACCCTCTGTATTTCTACCATATTAGTGCAAAAATTGTTTTCACTGTTGGTATACCTTCATTATGACGTAAACCATCTAGAACATGTAAACATAATCCCAAAAAATTTTTTTACGGTGAATGGTGAAGTGCCGAAAATTGGACAGCTTTTTTTTCAAAACAACGCCGAAGGTGGTCCCGAAAAGAGCCTCATATCTCACTCCCAGCAAGTATTTTATTCAACTTTGACAATTCTTCTTCATGTATGATGTATTTGCGAAATGCGTGAGTAATTACAACGTAATTGGATGAAAACACTGGCTGCAAAGGGTTGATGCCCAGTTACCTTGAAAATTTTCCCTTTGTGGGGTAACTGGGCACCCACCCCAAGGTAACTGGGCAGGTGGCAGTGGTGGCACCTGCCCAGTTACCCATTGCAAGGTTGCTGTGCTTCGGTGTTTGTTTACTTCTGAAAATGTCAAAACTAATTGACTATTGTGGACTTTTAAGTGCCAAAGACCAATAATCAGGGTTCCCAGCACACTAAACTTCTAACTTAAGTCAATTATAGCATAACTGAAGCATTACTTAATTACATTTTTGCCGCTAACTGTTACGACATCACTTTTAACGACTTAAACATGGTTATATAAATTCAAATGAAATTCTCTGAAACCCTCATGAGAAGGACATTCCTTTCTGGCCAATGAGAATTACAAAGAATGCCCCCCTTAAAAATTAAGGGAACTTTTTGGCGCCTGACTCTATCCCAGATTAGCCTTGCGGCTTAATTTTTTTTCATTTTTTAAAAATGTATCATGCTTAATCTCACTAAAAGTGGCCAAACAGTGTCCTGGTATACAATACTACTTGATAATTAGTAATACAGAAAGTTCTAATCATTTATCTACAAGGAAACAATTTTTTTTTACCGTTATTCAATTCTCAGATTTGAGGGTTTTTTTGCCGCTAACTGTTACGACATCATTCTTAACCACTTAAACAAGTTTATATACATTCAAATGACATTTTCTCAAATCTTTATGAGCAGGACATCACCTTCTGGCCAATGAGAATTAAAAATAATGCCCCCCTCAAAAATTAAGGGGGTGTAGTCCAGTTACCCCACGACGTTGGGTAACTGGGTCAAAAAAACGGGAAATTTTTGAAAATTTGTGGGAAAAAATTGAAAGATGGAATTCGACTTTTGACTCTTCCTACATTTAGACAAGGTGTTGTACTTACTAAAAAAAATTTTTTTCCGAACTCTTGCCCAGTTACCCGACCTCACCTTACCCCGCCAAAGGATACAAGAATGGACCCATAAATTTAGGATGTCAACAGGTCAGAATAATCAGGAATTGTGAGGGAATTTTATCAAGTCAAGGAAATTAGCCCAAAAGTCAAGAATTTTAAGAAACAAAAAACTGGCAATTTGAACATTTTTAAAACTTGAAGTCCGAAAAACATCAATGCTGTGCGCTTAATCAAAAATAAGTATGGTTTAAGGCTCAATACTCTGAGTTACCCAGCGGCCCGATTATTGAAACTATGTCAGTCCGACACGACAAGACATAGCCCTATCTTAACCATGCAATATATCGCAATTCGATGTCTTATCGGGCTGGTTTAAATTTCAATAATCGGCCCGCTGTGAATGGTAAACATTGGAATGAGTTCCAATGTGGAATTTAAATTTTAGTTAATTCAGTGACTACCACAGTTTTCTCAGAAAGTGGTCACAACAAAGAGGATAGGTGCCAAATGCAGATGTAGAAAGTTATTTGAATAAGTTTGATTATTTGAGTAAGGGACAATATACTTTTAAAAAAAAATCCCTCTTGAATGAGCCGTAGTCCATTTTCGGTTGTACAAATATGAAGTTGGGAGAAAAAGAAAAAACAAATTCCAACGCCGAAAAAATAAGCAAAATGGCAATTATTAGTAACAATGATGGAGAGGTGAGGGAGGAGACTTTACATCCTTTTTTTGCCAGAAAGCAATGCCAACAGGTCACTTGCAAAGGAGTGAACTTATCTGAAAGGAAATATTACCATGAAACGAATTTATCTGTATTCACTACTTATAGTTACAGGAGTAAAAAAGAGGTCTCATTTTCCATCATTTAAGCATATATTCAAAAAGCCTACACAGGTGCACAAATATGCAGTTGCATCGTTTTTTTCGTGCAAGAGCGATGATTTTACTGAATAGAGCGTGCTTTCTTTCATGGCTAGCTGCTAGCTTTCTTGCTCATAGGGAGCTCTTTTGTGGGGGTTGGTGGGATTTGAAGCTATAACAGCTACTTTTTAAACACAGTAAATTCGCAAGTAACCTTTTTTGAACTTTTTTACAAAATCGAAGACCCCCAAAAATTAATCCTCAGTGCATGGTGTTGCACCAAAGCAACACATTTTCTAGGGGGATTCTGGGGTCTAAACTCAAGATTTCAAAAAAAGAGAGAAAAATATGAGACTCCATTTTTTTCGATTTTGCAGAACATAGATTTATTTAATCAAAATCGGTGACCAAAAATTTCATCGTACAACAAAGGGTTAAAGAAACTGAAATCTTGTATTTCATTAAAGTGTCTTTCGGCATTTGTAAGTAAAATTAAGGAATGGTAAAATTCAAGTAGAAAATTCTCCAAAGATTTGTTTTCGGGTTTAGAAAACTTAAAATTGAAAAAAAAATTTCAATAAATAGTAATTTTATTTAAAAGACTTTTTTTACGTAAATTTTACCTACGGACACTTCCATTTGAAAAGAAAAATTGACTGAAAAGGGTTTCTTAAAAAATAAATGTCGACACACTCTTTAGAGTTTTCACAAGGGTTGTTTTATCTGAGAGTTTTTATCTTAGAGTCATTGCCCTGAAAAAAAAAAGAAAAAAAAAAAAAAAAAAAAAAATTTAGTCACGCGAATCGAACGTTCGATGTTTCATACCATCCCAAATATTCGGTTTGTCAAACAGAACTTTCGGTTCGTGTAACCGAAAGTTCGGCATGTATGACCAAACTTAATTCGTCAGTTCTCTTTCCCGCACAAGTTTGATTCAACAAGCCGAAAATTCAGTTTGACGAACCGAATTAGATAGGATAATATGGAACACCGAACTTTGGTACATCACTACTAAATACGACCGAACTTTTTTTTTTCGTGTACTACCAGAGCATCGAGAGCATCTTCCCTCTTTCCTGAGTGTGTTGGCAACGCCCGGAATTACCCTTAAAGTTACAAGTTGCGATTGTCCAAGAACGGTAACGGTGGCTGGTGGATGGTGGAGCCTCAGGTGAATTAATTTATATGTAAATATGTGAGCGGGCGTTTAATATTTCACTCGAGCCCGGCTCATGAAAAACCTAGCAAGGAGCACGTTGTAAGCTCCCGCGATCAGGTGAATTGAATTGCTCTTTTCTCCTGTCAAAAAGGAAACGGGGGGAGAGAGAGAGGGTCGAATTTCCTCGGCGGCGCTCCGCGGAACCACGTTTTGCATTTAGAAAGGGTTCATCTGCTCCTCGCCGTGAGAATGAACAAACGGACGGAATGATAAAATTCTGTGGATACGAGACCGATTCTGCCGAAGTGGAGGTTAGTTGAAACAATCCTCCTCCAGTAAGATGTTTAGGGGGCTAGCTGCTAAAAATTTCATTCCAAATTGCGAGGGACAAATGCTGTCAGCACCTAAGCTGCCGTACCTAGGAAAATCGCCGTTTAAACATTTGAGAGTCATGTTAGTACCATGATCTTTTTTCGTGTGGATGAGTATGTAGTACGAAGATAAATTTTTATCGTAAAATTTTAGATAGTTCTCCAAGACGACATTGGAAAAACACGAGAAGCAAGCGGCAAATGATGATCAGTCTTGCACTTTGTAAAATAGATAAAATAACGCACAAGCCGCAAAGTAGCAATACAGAGGTGCGTTGTTTCATAATTTTGCTAGCGAAAAAAAAAAAAAAATTCTCGTGTAAAAAATCAACTAGCAGGGCCGGATTAAGGGGGCGGCCACATGGGCCGCGGCCCATGGCGGCAAATTTTGCAATTTTTTTAAATGCAGATACAAAAAAATCGGATTCAGAAAAAAATTACATACAAGAAAAGGTGACAAAATCTCTCATTTCCTGAGAGTTCATTAATTTCTAATTTTGTCGTATTTCGGTGAAAGACTGCGCACCTTTAATTAGTTGAGTTAAGAGAGAAACCAAACACGTAATTTGGCCTGGAGCGGCGCGGCGCAAAGAGAAATGATGACGAGGACTTGAGATGAAAAGGAGAAGTCCTCGACGCGGCGGTCGGCATGTAACACATATTAGCGCCTACGAGACTGCATGGATACTTCACGCATTGCGTCAAACACAGTACGGTCAACAGCGGTCGGCGCGGCGTGAAACGCACAGTGCCTGCGAGACTACATGAATACTTCACGCATTGCGCCAAACACAGTGTGGTCAGCGCGGCACGGCGGCGGAAGTTAAAATTACCTATTAAACCACATTTATGTTTGTTCTTTCTTAATTTTTTAGTTCATTTCTTACAAATGAAAGGCCTTGTACACACAGATATAGGTTTACGGAACTGAACTTTCGAGCGAAGTTCCGTGAACTTTTGCTAGTAGTGTTGACAGGGCTTACGCAAAAAATGTGTCCAACACGAGTGAACGCGTCTTATGCACCCTTCTCCCTCCGGCATGTTCACTTGATGGTTTTTATTGATGTTTCAAAATGATTGAGAAGAGGGCGGCAAAATACAGGCGGCCCATGAGCGGCAAATAGGTAAATTCGGCCATCCAACTAAGCGCGGGCATTTTAGAGCGTTGCAGTTGAAGTAATTGGTTTCGATGGTAGCTATCAAATTATTGTTATCTGCGACATTTCGACGGTGAAACTACAAAAACGTGCGTTTCCTTTCAATTATTTCAGAGTCCACGCGCCCAATTCCAACATCATGGCTCTAAATTCTCTCAGAATATTTTCTTACAAGGGGAAAAAACAAGTACCTAGGTTTCAAAAATATGGCGTTAAGTAGATTCCTTGAAAAGACGAACCATGACAACAAGTTTGCAACGTCGCAAACCGAGATACGCGTTTTTGCAGTTTCATTGTCAATTAAAATACAGGAATTAAGAGAGTCGTCCTCGCCTCTCAACATGCCGTTGATGCGTTTCCTTGCCTTATACACGAATACAACTATTACGGCTTCTTAGTAGCCGCTTTTGCCTATCCTTCAAATTGAAGGTAAATTTTATGGGTAGCCCCTCACGTTACATTTCGACGGTGAAACTATCAGACCACGTATCTCGTTTGCGGTGTTTAAAAGTCTCCACTCACATTTTATTTTTTGAAGTAGACCAAATCAATATCATTCCTTGAAATTTTCACGGAATTTTCTCCGCACAAAGAGGAAAAATCACAGAAATTTTCAAGACTGGATGTTAAGTAGTTTTTCATTTAAAAAATAAAGTATGACAGGAAGTCTGCGACGTCGCAAACCGAGATACGTGGTTTGGCAGTTTCACCGTCGTATTACGGCTTCTTAGTAGCCGCTTTTGCCTATCCTTCAAATTGAAGGTAAATTTTATGGGTAGCCCCTCACGTTACATTTGTGGTAGAAGTTATGACAATATTCATCGGTTTTTGAACGATCTCGATGAAAACTTACCATCCCGTATTAAGAGAGGAGAGAATGAACAATTTTCTCCAGATGAACATTGTCTACAGGTTAGGAAATTTGATTCGCCATCACGGCACGTCACGTCAAGTTGAGTCGGCCACTCCCGCGCCGACCCTCCGTTACCTAAACGAGGGACGGGTTTCTCGTCTCATAGCCACATGAATGGACACGGAAAAACAGCCGTGTGCGCAGGAGACAGTTACCTATCTCCGTGCTAAGGAAAAACGCTGTATGAACCTTTAGGCGTTGTCAAATCTCCACCGATTAAAGTTCAGATTTTCAGGAAAATTTAAAAATATGTCCTCTAAGAAGAGAAAAATTCCCTCGAACATTATTTTTACAATATCTACAAATTTTAAAGGAAACATTTTAATATTAAATTTCCTTAAAAATGAATGTTTTATTGAAGGAAATTTGGCAACATCTGAATGCTCATACGGAGTTTCTCCTCAGCACGGCACAGTAGGACAGGATTGTCTTTCAACGAGCGCCTAGAAATTCCTTACCTAAACGAGGGACGGGTTTCTCGTCTCATAGCCACATGAATGGACACGGAAAAACAGCCGTGTGCGCAGGAGACAGTTACCTATCTCCGTGCTAAGGAAAAAGGCCGTATGAACCTTTAGGCGTTGCCAAATTTCCACCGATTAAGTTCAGATTTTCAGGAAAACTTCTAGATATTTTTCTCCCAAATTTAGAGAAAAATTCCCTCGAACATTATTTTTACAATAGGTATCTACAAATTTTAAAGGAAAAATTTTAATATTTAATTTCCTTAAAAATGAATGTTTTATTGAAGGAAATTTGGCAACATATGAATGCTCATGCGGAGTTTCTCCTCAGCACGGCACAGTAGGACAGAATTGTCTTTCAACGAGCGCCTAGAAATTCGGCTATTTTCCTATGCACGGTGCACGCGCCACCTTTTCTTAGAGGTCGAGGGTGTGTTCGTCGTGAATCGTCGTTTGAATGCGGTATCAACCATCGGTTATTTTAATAAAGCAGGTTTCCTGGAAAATTTTTGAATATTTTCTTCCAATTTTTCAGAGAAGTTTGTTCGCCATTTGATTTTAATTGTCTGAAACTTTTAGAGAGATATATTCAAACTTTTCTTAAAAATAATACTTCATAAGGTGACATTTGGCAACATTTGAATGTTCACAAGGCGCTTTACCATAGCATGACAGTATGTGTCCGTCACTAAATTGATAGCTTCTCAAAATGTAAGTAATAGTTCCTCCGGACACGTAGGAACATCCACAACACAGCCAATCGGTGGATACAACTTAACTAACCTCTATGTGAGGTTGGGTTGCGTCGCCAAATCTGAAGGCGAACTAGTAGCGGTTTCGTTTCTGAGCGTCGCGTCGCGACCAGGCGCGACACGGCGCGGCGCTCCAACCGATACTCGTTAAAAAATGGAGGTGACCGCATTTCAGTCATCATAATGAGAGGTCGTTAACGTGATTGGATGAAGGAATCGTCTTAAATTTTTTCGAAAATGATGTTATTTATGGTTGAAAATCATTATCGGAAAAGTATGTGGATCTCATTTAGCAAAAAGGAACCAGCGCGATTACAGTGTTGTCAAAATCGTGCAACTTCTTCCTTAGTTATAAATATACTTAAAATAAAAATAAAAATACGTACAGTATTAAAATGTACGCCATTATTTTCCTTTAAAATTAACAATTTTTTTGGTAGGAAGCAAAAACTGCTTGCTATTCCGGGAGATTTTTTAGATAATTATTAAGAAGCAACATTTTTACAACACTGCAATCGCGTTAGTTCCTTTTTGTTGAATGCGGTCCATTTTTAGTGTATTTTCCGAAGGAAATACTCTATTTTTAATCATATTTTGTGTTGCAATATACGCCAAAACGACGGATGTTCCGGTTGGTTTTCCTTACTTTTAATGTGCAGGATCGTTGATGCCATGTTGTGCCCACCTACGTCACGGTGCACACAAATCAGAAACTGCCAACACCTCCTTTTCTCCTCCATCTTTTATTCTTAGGACGATATAATTTTCGCGTTTTCCAAAAACGAACATAGTTCCGGGCACCGCTTTTCCGGTGTGATCAGATCCGCGTTTTGACGGGTTTTGCCGTGGTGGAATGCAATTTGAGTCCAGACACCCTATTATCCCTATAGTTCAATGGTCTGGAAATGGTGAAGAGGGAGGTGGGGCGAAAGGGGAGGGAAGGAGAGCCCACGTCGTTTAAAAAACAGTGAGGGGGAGGGGCGGCGTGCATAGTGCGTTCCGTCGAAAGGCAAGAGGGAGGTGAGAGCGTAGGGTGAGTAGGGTGAGGCAGGGTGAGGCACCGAGGCAGAGAAGAGATTGAACGGTGTAGTAAGTTATTGTACGCAAATGCTGACAAGTGTCCAAAAGTCCGCACAGTGGACGCCAAGAAAGTTTCGAGTGTATCCGAAATAATGTAGCACGTACTCGCTGACCAATATTTTGAGAGGAACTTTTTCTCTTTTTTCTATCTATGTTGGGGCGATAAAATCTTCTTTTAACTGAACCCTTTTTTTCTTACTTTTTTTTTCTCCCTATTCAAAATGCGAAGTCCTGTTACGTTTACGTGACTGTACGGAAGTAAACGGAACTGGACGAAACTGAACAAAATGTCGCAAAAATGTTCGAAGTTAGTGGTTTTATTTTAAATTTTTGGCAAACAGGGGATCCAATACGCATAGGAGCACATTTTCACTGTTCCTCCCCAAAAATTCAATTTTTAAACCCTAAAATAAGTTGAAAGAATTTTAACACGAAATATTGCATTCGATCAGGTAGTCAAAGCGAACGATTTATTACCGCATTTGGATTTTTTCAGCCTTATTTCAAGGCTCACGGATTGAATTTTTGAGAGCAAAACCTCTGAGCGAGCTGCGTATTGGCCAATTTTTCCAGCTTTATTTTAGGGCTTACAAATCGAATTTTTGGGAGCAAAACCCCTAAGCAAGCAGCGTATTGGCCGATTTTTTTCTTATAATTTCTATCCAATTTGTAAGGCAGCCACGAGACAACCTATCAGCTTCTTTTGAATAACGTAAATTTAACCTGACCTCCACCCATTTTTCAGGAATAATCGGAGATGGCTCGAAAAATAGCTTAAAAAATTACGTTTTTTGTTTTAAAAAATATTCTTTTTTTCTTTTTACAAGCAAACTCTCGGGAAACCGGGATTTACCCTCCCTCTATCTTCCTGGACTACAGTAAGGCAAACTGAGACCACCCCCCCCCCCCCCCCNGGTGCCCCAAAGTTCTTAGTAATCCTCACAATTGGACGTATTTCTATCAAACGGACCTAAGCGCCATAGGGGGAGGAAGGTAGAGGGGGGCTTGGATTGGCGGCGGAATCGGGCGTCGGGCTCATTCCGTCCTACACTCGCAATGCTTTTCCACGGCGCTTAGTTCCGTTTGACAGAACGCACTATCCGGCATTCTAAATCCCTCAAAAGGAACTGAAATTGGCGCTTAGTTCCGTTTAGAGTACCTGTATAGGGAGAGTACCGACAGATCTGAAACTCCGAAAGTCCATCAGGCCTTCACCGATGCCTCCGCGAATAAAGTTAGGGCCCAAAAGGGCAGCCAACCTATGACTTTCAATTATCCAGAGCGATTTACTGATACTATTGTTACGAACCGTCCTTTATTGAGCACGTGTTTGACTCAGTTTTTGCATAAATGTACTGAATTTCGCGGAAGAACGCTCATTTCTGTACATTCTTGGCCATCTTGGTTAGAATTGGAATCTGCAGACTGGCAGTGAAATTTTGTGCGTTAGAAGTTGGTTAGAAGAGTGGCTGCACTTTTGGGCCCTGAGCCCTCCATGAACCGATCTGTCGGTACTCTCCCTATATAGGTACTCTGGTTCCGTTTGACAGAAATACGTCCAATTAATAATATCCGTGAGCAGGACCACTGTGCGACGGGTGGAGCGTCGGCGCGTGAACCGCGGGCGCGGGCGAGGTGAGCGTCGGAATGGCGAGGGGGGGGGGAGGGCGGTCGG